TAGCACAATGTAAACACTGATCATCTCCTGCATTATGAATTTCCCTATCAAGTCTTCAGTTAAACAATTCATTTAATAGGAAAAGCTTTCAGACTTGACAGTAGAAGTTCCCAAACCCCTCTTATTGCAATGGCGATACTGTCAGAGAAGAATATAAAGTAACTAACTAACTTTGGGCTTCCCTTGCCCTTGAGCGAATGCGCACACAAAGGGCAATTAAGATAATGCAACCCCTCCTCCTAACAAATTCAAAACCTAAAAAAACCCATGAGTTGAAGCAATCTGACTACAAGGACAGAAAGGAAAAGCCAAAAGAAAGAAACAAGAATACCTCAAGGGTTTTTGCTGAGCAAACACCGGCTGATTGCCATGAGAAATGCCAGCAAAGCAAGCCCTTTTCAAAAGCTTAATAATCTCTTTTGGCTTTTAAAACTCTACCTCCAAGTTAAATTCTATACTTCCAGGTAAATTCTATACTTCCATGAGAGACTTTTATCTGAACATTATATGCCAAAAAAATGGAAAAATGGAAATTTCAGGTAAATATCTGCTTAAAGGATCATATATTTTCCTAGCTGTACAACCAATTACTGCAAACACATATAGGAAAATAAGAGGTTGTGGGTCTTTGGATACTGTTACTTCAGAGACACCTTTGAGACTTTGTCATAGGTAATATGAAAAGCAAGAACAAACTTTTCATACAAGAAAAATTAATCTAGTGCAAGGGATGCTTTCTCTACTGCAGGCAACCATGCTTAGGTGGCCAGATGGCATCAGTGGCAAAAATGTCGTCTTTCATCACTGCTGGCTTGGAAACTCTGTCCCAGATAAGGCTTCGCTATAATTTTTCATCATTTATGACTTACATGCTGTGTTTTTGTAAGTCAGTGTAACTGAAACAATGCAAAATACAGAATCTCAGCTGGTACAGGCTGACTATAAGATAAGATTGGAGGGGTTTCTATTCTTGTGCCTCAGTTAATCCTGATTTACAAAACAACCATTGGCTCAAACTGAGACACAATAAAGACGTTTGGTCTATGAATCACTATGAAAGTACACTAGTCTAAGGCAATGCAAATCAGAAAGCCTAGGACAAATTACAAGGAGCTGCAGATATTAAACATTCTGAGCCAAGGAGAAATTAAGCGATATTCAGACACTCTGTAAAACTTCCTCATCAGAAAAGATCTTCTTTTTTAGGAATGAAATGCACAATCCTACTTAAAAAAAAAATAGCACCTACATCAGAGACAGACCCATGCAGAAATAATTAACTACTATTTTGTCCATAAGGGATAAGCTGGAACATGACATAAGGTGGGCAGAAAAAATTGGCAAGGGGGAAGATCTGTGGCTAACCTTCATATTATTTACTGCTTTTCTTGTTTTTAAAGAGAAGTGCAATGATATTCTGGAAGAGTAAATGATCCCACCTGTCAGTTATAACTCAGCATTAATGAGGGCATTGGTCAGTACAGTCAAATGGTATGAAAGATGCGTGAGGCTGCAGGCCAGTGGGAGCACATCTAGAAAAATAAAGGAAGATATCATCTCTGGCTTTCTTCTAGTAACAACATGATTATGGTAATACTGTAAGGCCAATGGTAAGGAAGAAAACGGAATAGCATTAGAGAGCACAAATACAAATTAGGTTCATTATTATTATTGATGATGATATCTCAATGCCATCTGAACTTTTTTTTTTAATTACTTGGGCTGCAGGCCGGTACAGTATTAGCCAATGGTGACCATATTTCCTTCCACAGAGGAGGCTTTCTCTTTCATTTCATCGTCTACTTCTAAGTCCACTGTGACATTTTTATCATACTTTCGAAGATGAAAATCCAAACTATTTGTTTTTCTTTAACTGCATTCAGTCTCATTGTTCACAAAGGCAGTAAGCAAAATGCAGCTTAATGCCCTTAATGCCTTGTGAAGTTAAGTTTCTTAGGCTCTCCTCCACTTAACCTATGTTATTTTTCTTAACAGTACTACCAAAGTAAAATCTGAGCATGCCTGTGGAATTTGAACATCTTCAAATATCAGCTCCTAGAGAAGAAATAGCTTTCAGCTCCTACAGAAGAAATAGCTTTCAGGCAGAGGCTTTCAGAAAAAGTTCTTGCACTGTGCAGGCTGAAAGCAACTAATGCACAAGGCACACAGGAGACCACTAGGGCTGGAAGAGTACATTATATTTTCCGGATTTAAGAGACAGCATGTCATCCTCACGACATCCTTACTTCCTTTGCCATCAAATTATCTGCAAAGGCTCCGGCTTGCAATTGACCACTGGTCCTGCTGCATATCAAAAAATAACTTTTTCTGGCTCAGCCCACATTGGTTTAAATGAGTCTTTAAGCCAATGCTTTAGTTAACTATTAAAATTTCACTTCAAAGCAAGCTTGGTGTACTAGCCGGAGGTCAGCCCTTGCAATGACATCACTCTGAGGAATGTACATTGGACCCACAGTGTGAAGCCCAGGAAATGCCCTCACAAAACCTCCCTTACTCCATAGAAGAAAAAAAACTCAAAAGAGGGTCAATTTTGCCTTTCTCAGAGTAGTCGTATTTCACAACTGAGTCAGACAGACATTTGAACCAAACTCCAAATGTTTAGATGCAAGCAGTTACCTTAACTTACTAATCCACTAAAACCTCTGAGGAAAATCCGTAAATAGAAGAGAATACATTGATAGAAAGGTACGTTTGCTGTAGTTACAGGCAGATCTCCTGTTTCTGGCAGAATTGCCCTTTGGTGGCCATCATCACCAGTTCAGGCCAGAAGAAATAGTAAGATGTTTTATACCACTTTCTGTATCAGCAGCGTTCTAGTCCAAACCCTAGTATTAAATGCAGTCATTTTAGTAAGAGAAGTGTTCAAATTCAGATCAGATTAAATTGTTATATGCTACAGCATACCAGGGAAGTATGATACCCTACTTCACAAAGTTCTTGTAATATCAAGAATGTGATACTTTTCCAAATTCCAAAGTTAGCAGTCAGTATGACTCTGAATGCACTAGTAAGGCATACAATAACAACAACAACAACAACGATAACAACAACAACAACAACAACAATAATTACTATTGTTATTATTATTATTTCCTTCTACTCCCTCTATCATTTCAGAGGACTGACACTCCTTGATTGCTTCTTTGGCTGTATTCAGTTCTAAGGAATTTACTTCCAGAGTCTGGAAAACAACCAGGAAATGTCTCCTAACATCTTACCGAGGTCAGAAAAAAGGTCCAATTGTTCTACCCTGACAGCGGCCTTAGATATGCTCCCGATTCCAGGCTGTCAGGCTACAACACTTTCTCTTGCTGTATGACTAGAAGAATGCACATGCTGCGCACACAATCATCCCTCTCAGTTTTCAAATGACCCCACAGTGTTCATTAACAGCAACACATTCAGCTGCCAGAGAAAAAAGCGTGTAAGTTTGAAAGAGGATCTGTCCAACAGTATGTGGCCAGTAAGGAGAGAGTATTGTTTCCATAAAAAACTGAGTGGGAGCAGGCAGAAAGAGGGGTCTCCATGTGAATGTGCACTGCCTTCTTAGACTAAATGTAACTCTTTTTATGGAAGAGAGACAATTTAATAGTTACATTTTCTTTAAAAGTTAAATATTTCAACCATGTGCAATACAAGGCTTACTTCCTCTCACTCTCTAGCATGATTATCATCCAGATCTTTGGCAGCCTGGTAGAAAACGTACCCTTTCTAAATGTGAATGAAAGATATTACAAAGCAGAATCCAGAATGCAGCAGAATGCAAAGATGTGCCAGTCAGCATCCTGGTGACCTACTTTTATTACAGCAATTCCATTTTTGAAGATATGCCACTACTTTTTGGGGAGAGCTGCACAATGAGGTGTCAGCAAACATGCTGCTTATCATTAAAGATGTTACTTGATGACTGCAAATACTTGTCTGTATGACTGACACTCCTAGTCAACGAGCTCCCACAGTAATGTGCAGTACCATATTCCAAAAGGAAAAAATATTATGATGTTTCTACAACAGAAATATGTGAGACTGAGCAAGTTACCCATCTACTTTTGATGGGAGTAAAGGTACTGTTTCATGCATTCTAAAATTGTAAAAACTGGAAAATTTTTTTTAGGTGCTCAATTTGCCTCATTTCTATGTTTGGGTTTTTTTATCTGTTTCTCTTTTTTCCTTGCATTTTAGTATGGAAGAAGAAAAGAGCTTCTGGTGAATGTGTCTGGAATATATTAGACAGTTGTTTTTGGTTTTATTTTTGGCATAAGCACATTTCAACAACTTTATCAGTGTACTTCCCACTATAATGTTCTCTGTATTACCTCATCATCTGACTTCTTAATAACTATCTAATTCTTCACAGTCATTTATCTCTAAGCCACATGTCAAACAACTACAAAATTGTTTACCTTCTTTATGAATATGGCATACCCCGCAGGCAGCGAAATTCTGCCCTTGAACTGTTCACTCACACACAAAAATATCACACAAGTAAATCTATAGTTCCCATAGTTTACTTAGAAAAAGCTCATGTGGACAGTTAAGTCTGGAAAAACTTGGTAAATGGCTTCATGAGATAACCCAGAAGTTACTTGACAAAACAAATTGAGGACAAAATTCAATCAAACAAATACAGATAATATACTTTCATGAGTACTGTGAAACTACAACCAAAATTCACAGCACTGGTCAACTCTTTCCAAATTTATTTTTGTGGCTTTTTTTGAGAGAATGAGGACTGATAAATTGCAATGAAAATATTTGGTTCATTTACTGAGAATGATTCAATATAATGTTATTGGTGATGAGGGCTACAAAGCAAACAATAGTTTATTAGCAAGCCAACCAACAAAACCAAAAAGCAACCTTGAATAAATTGCAGAGCAGTGTGTATTACTAGGTATGTATTGTTACACTTAAGCCTGAAGCTAACTGTTTAGAAAAATAATGTTTAAAAAGCACAATGAAAAATGAACAATACTTACAACCATACCGTTTAGGGACACCCAGCAATCTGGTGGGAAATCCTGGAGTAATGGTACTAAAAACTGAAGACAACCATCCCAGTGGCAAAGCAGCAACATCATTCCAATCAGATTAAAGATTCTCACCACAGCACTGGCCAGATCATATGTCATGTGGAATATCTGTAGACAAAAATGATGGATGATTTACATGATGAAACATGTTAAAAACATAAATCCAAATCATTTATTCTCATCCAGGCAGGTTAAAGACAAGGAAGTATTGTGCTGAAGTTCTAAAATAGTACAGATCTCTCAGTAAGGTTCATTAATTTGGGCACACTAAGTTGAGCGCAGAGCCGCGCTAACCTAACTGACTCTTTGGTGCATACCATTGTCACGGAGGCTGCTGAAAAGTGCTTATTTTGGATCAGAACGCACCAACTACAGTACTTTCTTAGAGCCTACCATTCCTTTCAAAGGGAGTAAGTCTCACAACTTAAAAAAAAATGTGGGGAAGCTTCTTAAAGGTAGTGAGACCACTACTAGTCTGCTAATTGGGTGAACTAAAATATTCACAAAGATGTGGCAGACACAAATTCAGTGCCCCAGACTGAAAGGTTCACTCTCACATTTCTCACCTGCTTGAGAGAACCAAATTCTGAGTGAGGAAACAATATAAATAATTGTCAAAATTTCTGAACTACTATTTCTGTAATATGTCTTTATTAATCCCATTTGCAAATATCAGTTCACCAAGCAAAACGACACAGAAGTATTTCACTTCTTTAAATCATCGACAATTTTCCTAAAACGTTAAGAATCCTGAACACCTGTAGCAGCTAAGTTTATGTCAAACTGCCATAATAATTTGGATTTCAATATATTGCTCCATTCTTGGACGAAAATCTTTGCATCTGAACGTCTCTTACAGCAAAAACTACACATAAACTCTTATAGTATATTATATTTCAATAAGCATAATTATTAGTATCCAGGAGTTCAAGTTAGAATATGAAGAATGTTTTGTCCAGTTGATATTTCATGGAATTTTAAGTAGAAAATACTATTTAACTGTACAGACTGACATAGAAATTTAGAGCCCTTAGCGCTGAAAAGCACATCAGATTCCTAGAGGTAGAAAAACTGACACTTTCTATAGGTGTGAAGAAAAGGCAGCAAAAAATCCCCAAAGATAAAGGCAGTTAAGTGAAGAGACATTAACAGCAACACTGCATTCCTGATAGGCTGTACCACTTGTGAGAGGTCAATATTAGGTCAAATAATAAAAACGAAGATCAGTTGTGGCATTGGCATACTGCAGTATCTAGGTAGTTGCAACAGCCCTCTTTGCCTTTACAAAACATTTATCATAGAAATTAAAATTCTTTTATATAATAAATGACTTCCATATCTGCACATGCCATTTGGCCTTTGTAAACAAAAAGAGTTCACATACTGAAGAGGGAATTTTTCTATCCTGACTTTTACAAATCTAAACTGAAAGCCAAAATTACATATCCACACCGTAAATGAGTGCAAGTGCTAATTTGGAGACCACGTTAAGGTACCTTTCAACATCATTTGCTGTTAGTGGCAGTTTGTGCTTGTTTGAAAATAATGGCATATTTTTGAGACCCAAAATATAAAACATGTTTAGTAGAAACATATCTAGATGTTAAATTATGTGCAAAGCATTTTTTTGAAGCTAGGGCATTTTAAGAGCATGCATTCCAAATGCCAGTTTGACAGAGGTTGCAAACAAAGGCTTGTAACATTATTCAAAATGTCATGTGTTATCCAAATACCATTTAACTCCTGTTAAAATTGAGGGGATGATACTAATGCTTAGAAGTTATTGTAAATGAAAATAAACAGAAAACTACCACCATTATAAATCTGTGCTGTTTAGAAATGTATGTTATAGCTATTTTAATAGCTATAGTAGCATGATATTAATTCAGAGATTAGAAATGTAAAACTGAAATAATTTTATTTAAATAAGTAGAAAAAAAAAGCAAGGACTGGCACTGTTTTGGAACACTAAAACACAGTTTCATTTGGGTTACTCTTTATTTGCATGGATAGTTTACTGCACCCACAAAGTGCAGATACAGTCCTGATGACATGAAAAGTAGCAGAAGTTTTGTCACTGAAAGTAGGATTTCCAGTAGAATATGTATCTGTAAAAGTTAAGAAGATTAGACAGAAATTATACATATTTTACACAGAGATCACAACTTCATGAAGAATTTCCTGTTGCTCCAGAAAAGCAAGTTATAACATCTATACAATACAGCTGGATAAAAATCAAAGGTCATCTCAGTTCTTATCCACAGAATTTTCATACTGCCTCAAGCTTCTCATTAGGCTTTTCTGTAAGAGATCAGATTTTCAGAATAATTCACTGAATTGGATACTGAGTGGTTTTTTTTTTTTTTAAATCAATCACAAATATGATGATCAGAGCTACACTGAGCACTAACACCTTCATTCCTATAATTACTTAGAAACAGAATGTTTCTGAAAACATGCACCTAAGTGTTTCTGACAAGCATGCGAAATCTGGTTCTGCGAAACATCTCAAAGTCCACAAAACAACACTTTCAGAGACAGAGGACTCGTGAATCCCCATCCTGCTTGTGTAACTACAGGTTTAGGCAATATGAAATATTGTGCATGTATACTGTGATCATAGCTGCAGAAAAATGATCATTGTGTAGCTCTTTCACTTAGATGGAGCTCATTTTTGGCATAGATCCAGATTAGAGAGATGGTTTGAATTGCAAAGTTCGTATCTTCATATAGGATTTCCTACATTTTTAGAGCCTTTTGTGCTGGTACATATTTATTACAAATCTTAAAAGCTCCACATTATTTAATTAGGTAATATGCACTGAAAAAAATATGTGGGTGATTGAATTTGCTGATGTATTTATTTAAGCATTACAGAGATCTTGCCTGGCTCTTAAGGATCTATCACGTCCTGCCTACCCTGTGAAACTGTGGGATGACTCGGTAAGGCTCCCCAAATGAGCCATTAGATCTAGCATACCAAAAAATCTATTACAAAGAAAGACTAGAATTCAAACCAAACAAACAGCTGCGGCACTGTGCTCAAATTAAAGGGCGCTGCCAGGTCAAAGAGGTCTGCGGGTTGAGTTTGGGCTTTGGAAGGATTATTCTATCCTGTTATACAGGATAGAATTCTGAGTAATTGTTGTTTTTTCTTCAAAGCAGCATCTGCCTTTTCATTACCAAGGACAATCCTCCCCTTCTACTCAGCCCTGGGGAGGCCCCACCTGGAGTCCTGTGTCCAGTTCTGGGCTCCCCAGGACAAGAGAGACAAAGAGCTACTGGAGAGAGTCCAGTGGAGGGCTACAAAGATGATGAGGGGACTGGTGCACCTCTCCTATGAAGAAAGGCTGAGGGAGCTGGGCCTGTTCAGCCTGGAGAAGAGAAGACTGAGAGGTGACCTGATCAATGTGTACAAGTAGCTGAAGGGAGGGTGTCAAGAGGATGGCGCCAGACTCTTCTCCGCGGCGCCCAGTGACAGGACAAGAAACACAGACAGTTCTGGCTGAACATGAGGCAGAACTTCTTTCCTGTGAGGGTGACAGAGCACTGGCACAGGTTGCCCAGAGAGGTAGTGGAGTCTCCTTCCCTGGAGATATTCAAAACCCGCCTGGATGCGATCCTGTGCAATGTGCGCTAGAGGACCATCTCCAGAGGTCCCTTCCAACCTCGGCCATTCTGCGATTCTGTGATTCTGTGAATATGCCTTTGTAGTAACAACCATGTACTGAGAGAACAATAATATGTTGAAAATTTTATGTGAAACCAAATCCAGTAAAGGAAAAGTCTATAACAGTCAGTATATGACACTGCAACCTTTCATCATTTGTGAAAACTTTCACTCAAGAAATAGCTTCTGTGAGGCTTAGCATTCAGTATCAGTAAGTATTATTAAAAATGCATACAGATATTCTAGATACTTTCGGGAATGGTAATATTATATGAGCATTTCTGCAATAACACCCATTAATTGCAGTGTTTCATTGCTCATCTTTTGCTTATATAGCCCAATATTTGTATAGCCTATTCTAATAATTGATAAATACATATTACAGAAAATTACTTCATTGGAAAAATCTTAAGTAAATGTTGAAAAATCTTTTAGGTAGCATATTCAAATATCCTCCCAGTAAATAAAAGAAGTTTGGTATTTTTTTCCTAAAAGGAACTTACCATGGAAATATGTGCTTAGTTGACATCATACATTGTATGTTTAATCTTTTATGTTTTTCCATTTCTGAAACAACTGTGATACATTCAAACAAAGAGTAACGAAAGAAGTCTTATTTTTATAGCATTTTCTTTTTGGAACTATATAAATTACAGTGGCTCCATTAATGAATTAATCCTTATTAAAACTCCAAGGAGGTATGTGAAACATTGTTTGTTTAGAGAATCGGAACATAGAAAGTTAAGAGGTTAATACCACTCATTTGAATAAGTAGTGACTTGCCAGTAGGTGACCAGTAGGACAGGAAGAAATTGGAAATCACAGATTGATTCAAATGTCTTTATTTCACAGTACAGCTGTCCTGTATATCGAAGACAAATCTCTTTGTTGGAGGGGATGTCTTATCAAGATAATATTCATAATAAAATAAATTCCAACACCTGCACAGACCTAAAATTAGGCTCTTAAACTCATTATCAGGTACCTGAATATACCTGAATATAAGTAGCCTGATTTTCATTAAATGCTCACTATCCATAAATTCTATGCAAGTGAGCAGGAGCTGCAGATATACAACAGATTTGAAAACGTGGCTATTTTATTTAGACTCTTAACTCCACACCTAAATATTCAGCTTGGCCATCAAGATATGCAACTTTTGGGCAACACATTAAAAAAAAATTACTAGAGTTACTTTACAACCCTGCAACTGAGAACAATTTAAAATTCCCTTGAGAACTAACTCTCTCCACATTATTATTTCACATAATAGAAAATATTCAATAGATATCTCTGCTTTTTATTCACTTCTCAATTTCATTTGAATTACACTTGATAGTTTTCATTAGTATGATGTGCTTGTTTTTTCTTCACTGGAATAATGTTAGCATTCATCGTTTCCATACACTTCAAAATAGTGTTTAATAATAAATTCTGA